GGCTGCTTCTTGGCAGCCACTGCCAAACAATTCCTAGAACCGTTTTCCCCATGTGTCAAATTTGCAGCAGCATTTGCTACAAATCAAGTCAAACTCTTGAAATGGTTTAAAATCCAAAGTGCACAGAGTCCAGGGCTTGCAGGACAGTGGGCAGGCAGCACTGAAGATCACAATGGCACAAATGGCAGGGCACAAATTCTACTGCCTTTACTCCTGAGGGACTTGGGGAACACAGAGCCCTTTGTGGAAACCGGCTCCCTGCTTCCACAGGGCAAAAGCCCTTGGAAAAGAGTAAAGTTACCAAATCAGGGCCACCTGCCTGCATGAAAAGTCCACAACACTAGGGAAAGTCAGACAGAAGGACCTGCCTGCTGAGGATGCTGATCTCCAGTTCTGGAAAGGCCCATCCCAGGCAGCAGCCCACCTGCACTGTCACATCTCACAGCCTCCCCGCTGCCCCAGCCAGGGAATCCAGCTGCTCCTTGCCTGCAGCTGTCAGCCGTACTTCGGGGTTTTTTTAGATCCCAAGAGAAGGTACAGAATGTTCTGTCTCAGCCCGGACTCTGACAGCCTGGCCTGGCTATGGATTTAGCATGAGCCTGCTCACAGCCCAGGATAACTCCTTTCCTCTTCCAAACATCTGACAAAGTGACTCAGCGCCGCTGCTGAGAACACCCAGCGCTGCGAGTGCTGCGGGCCCCACGTCCTCAGTGCTGCTTCCACCCATTAATGGGCTGCTGGCGCTTCTCTGCGTTATTTTACCAACTCTCAAACAAACAAAATGCATATCAGGAGCACACAGCAAACTCACAGCAGCTCCCACGCGATCACAAGCAGAAACAAAGCTTTTTCTTTCTACAAAATAATGTCCTGTTTGAGCTCTCCCGAGATTTTAGGCAGAGGCAAAGGCGAATGGCCTTGCAGCCACGCAGGGACCCAAGTGTCAGTCCTTTGTAGTCTGTAGCTGTCCCTTTGATGTAGATATCCTTTCCTGCTGGAAAAACTTTTATCATTTCCAACACTGTGGATTCCCAAGACGCCTCAAGCTTAAATTAACTTCTTGCCATGGTRGACAGCAGCAGAGATCACACCCAACAGTAGAAATGAAGGCAGCAGCCACCCTTCCAGCCCCTGCTGTGTGCATTCCTGGACCTGTGAAGCTCTGAGACCTCTCCTGACGCCCACCATCACAGCAGGTATCTTCCTCCTAGCTGGAGGGGGTAAAAGCACCCATTTGAGGACCTGGGGATGAGGTCCTCCCTGCTGCCAGCAGACCATTCCTCCCCAAGGAGCCCTCCAAGGGAAGATGATGGGGGCAGTGCTGAGGGGCCCAGGTGGTGCTGGCACTCTGGTGGGCACCCAGAGCCCACTGCTGCTGGCAGTGCTGGTGACAGTGACAGCAGCAGCAGTGCTGAGGCAGCAAAGGGGCTGGGATGGCTGTGGGGATCGGAGCAGGGAGCATGGCATGGCACGCTGGCCTGGGGTCAGTGCCATCCACACCACTGCTCCTCCTCTCACATGCCACCAGCGTGACAGCAGGGATCTAGAACCAGGAAACGCAGTTAAGAATAGGGTTTAAGCTCTGCCTTTAGTAATCTGAGACCTTTCAGGACATTTTGGGGAGTGCCACAGTATTTCTCCACTCTGTACCTCTCAGCCACGGGGCTGCTTTGAAATGAGGAGTCTTATCCCTTTGGCACCTGGCAGCACTGAGCTCTGTGCCTGGGAACAAGCGCTGAGCCAGGCCAGGCTGGCAGGGAGGCACAGCAGGTTTGGGCTGCACTGCTGGGAGGTGCCATCGTCAGGCCCTGATGGGGACCCTGCTATGCCCCTGCTATGCCCTGCTGCTCACACCTGGCCAGGAGGCTGAGGGGCAGCAAGGGCTGAGGGGCAGACGTGCTCCCATCACCAGCCATGGCACAGCCCCTCTGCCACTGGAAGCCACTCCACAGGCAGGGCACACATCCACAAAGACCCCAAGGACAGTGACCTGCCTGCCTGTCTGGTGACTCCCACACAGGCTGTGTCTGTAACAYGTTTTTTAGCAGGGCTCAAGAGCAYCAGAGAGCCTGGACTTCTCAATTTGGCCAGGATCTGGCATGGAAGGCTCAGTGCAACGTAAATATTTATACAGACCATCATTGCTTTATGTAGCCTGGTAAGCAGGACACTGCCAGAAATGCTGCAGGGGACAACAGGACTTTTAATTAACGTTATGATGCTCCAGAAGCACCTCCTTGCATGGAAAGCCTTTTGGATGATGCAAACTTCAGATGCAGATTCTAATCTTTCCATCAAAATCACTCCCACTGAAGACAAAGCTCACGATCTTGGCCACAGTGCAGGCAGACACATGAGCAGGCATATGGCAGCTTGGGAAAAGGCGCTTCTGCAGGCCAATATCCAAACARAAGTCTGGCAGGAGGCATCCTGTGCTGCCATGGAAAGCTCACAGGCATCTAGGAGGCTGCTGCACAGGCGGAGCAGCCTCTTGTGGGACAAAGCTCTGCCTGCAGCCCCATCCACAGAGGTCTTGGCCACAATTTGCATCCAAAGCCAAAGGAAGGACAACATGCCAGGCATGGACAGGGTGCCTCTTTTCCCTGCTGAGGCTGGAGGACAGAAACCCAACACCGATGGCCTGGGACCTCAGATCACCTCCTTCACCTGACATAGGCTCCTGCACCTCTCCCTCTGCATCCAGAACCTCCTACCAGACACCACAGCGTGATCCACACCCAGCTTCAGCAGGAGCTACTGATCTCCACAGGCCACTCCAACTCACCCTGAGTGGCCCCAAAGGACAGGCCACCCCAGACTGTGCAACAGTTAAATCCCAGCGCYGGCCTAGCAGGAGGGCCGGGAGATCCTGTTGCTCAGAGAAATGTGTTTGTCCAAGACAAACAGTGGCCGGGCATTGTTTCAGCATGAGTCAAGCCAGTGGAAACACTCCCGTGCCATCCTGTTTTGCTGTCTGGAGGTTTCCCCTACCTTCAGGATATGCAGACAGGCTCCGGGATGTTTCCGATTTGCTGTTCTCTTACTCCTCGGTTTCCCATAAGTGTCTGGGCCCAGGGCTGCTCTGTGCACCAGCGCAGCAGCCTGAGCCTTCTGCAGCCCAAACCTGTGCCTAGAAAGTGCAGCTCACAGCCACACAGCCACAGTGGGAACAGATGGTGGACTGATCTCCATTCACCTTTCCTACTGTTACACAGCAGGAAAGATGGCACCCAGACCCTTCCTGGCTTACCCTGCCCCAGGGATGCGAGTCCACAGCTCCACGAGCAAGCTCAGGACAGCTCTGCTAACTCACCCCAAGTCCTCTRATGCTTTGGGGAAAAGCTGGTGCTGCAGAGAGCTGTGTGAAATGGTGAGGAAAACGTGAGTGGCAACATAAGGACCCCCACCATCACCCCGTAATCCTCCTCCATCCCCACAACCATTTTCCCAACTGATGCTTCAAGCCTGCACACATGGCAAACCACGCAGCTGGAGCTGACACCTCTTCTTTCACACCTACAAGATGTTTTTATCTTTCTAAAAGTATAAAAATAGCAAAAAATATCTTTTTTTAACAAAGACATCTATGCTTTGTCAGCTCATGTTTGCATCCAGAAACCCTTTTAGCAGTGAGGTGCGAGCCCTGCAGGGTGCRGGGCTTGGCGGGAGGGCAGGCTGGAGTTTGCACAGCTCGCCCCACAACGGGTGATCTGGCGACAAGGAGGATCAGGAACTTGTTTTCACATGAAGATCAAAACAACACAAGMAGAAAAGCACAACATAGCCCAAAGTGACCCAGAACGTCAAAACTGCAACAACACAAAGTTCAGCCCAAAAATGCAGCCTGTGAGGGCTGTTATTGCTYGGCRTGTTTGTCCCCACCGCAGGCGGYGGGAGGRGGAGAACACGGCTCTGCCTTGGGTCAGGTATTCAGTGCTCAGCCCCGTGATCCCATGCCTTGTCCCCTGCCATGCTGAAAGGCCCTCCAGCAGAGCACCCCAAACCTYATCTCAGTCCCCTCCAGGCACACCCGGTCCCACAAAACACATCCAGGCAGCGGAACAGCATCTCCACTCCCTAGTTATGCGTGGAAATAATGCAAAACCCTGCAGAGACAAAAACAAAYGATTCCACCCTGGACTAATTGCAGGCGAACAAACGCTTGATTTACCCCGTTCCAGGCTGCACCGCTAACGAAGGGGATCTGCCCTGCCAGATCCGAGGCCACAGTCCCACAGCCCCGTGGCTGCTCTTGGCTGCARCTCTTCCCTCCATCCTGCTTTAAGCTCTAACAATTGGATATGATTAACTGGGGCTGGATTTACCATTCTGGGCACCAAAATCCTGTCAGGACACCCAAAGCAGATAGAGGAGCCCTCCACACTCTGAGTGTGGTGCCACCCTATGGAGACAAGACCTCAGCATCCATGTTCCTCTAGTTCCAGCTCTCCCTGGAAGTACAAAGAGTACAAATCAGGTAGAGAGGCAACCTTATGCCACAGACAGAGAGATGTCTTTATCCAGCTCAGTGGTGACTTCTGCAGTTTGAGCAACCACATGCTTTCATATGGTTTCGGCTTCTAGGAAGCAATTGGTGGTGATTAGTGACCATCAAACCCCTGTTGATGAACTTCTCTCTGTCTCTACCCTTGTCCCATCTGGATGCACAGGCAGCAGGAATGGCTGCTCCGGATCTTTGCAGCTCAGCCTTTGCCTAAGAGCTGCTGGTCATGTCTTAGGAGGTTCAGTAGGAAAGGAAAACACATACAGACCCCTTACACTTTTTATCTTTCTCCAAGAACTTTTCCATTAGGATTAGCARATCTAGCCAAGCCATCTCAGATGCTCAAACTCAGCTCTGCTGGGATCCATTAAGGCATCCTGGAGCTGACTATCTGATTTATCCCAAATTAAAAGAAAACCCCAGGTCCATCCTTGGAAGTTGAAGACACCGGCCACCCACTAACCACTCCCTTCTCCCCACGGGTAGGGGMCTGTACCTGTACACTGGTTGCATTTCCCTGGCAATCCCAATGACTGCTCCCTCTGGGAAATKGTCAAACTCATCAAACAGGTCTCGGATGTTGGTCTTGTACTTCAGGTCCAAGTCAACCTGGATGATCTGTGTTATTTCTGAAAGCACAAAGAGGAAAAGTCAGCAAAATAAGACAAAACTGTAACCAGTGATTCCCAGCAGTTACTTGAGGAACTGCACCCAGTGAGGATTTGGTGCAGTCAGCTCCATGGGCAAGACTCGACCAGCTCAGGGCAAACACAATCCAGCTGCAACCTCTGCAYGAAGCAAACAAACTTCAACCATCATGAAGCATTTACCACTTTGTGTTTGCTTCAGAAATCGTTTCTGGTGACCTCCTGCTTCTATCCACTCCCTCCCTCCTTCCTTCCTGGAAGACTGGTTTTCCATATAGTGAACAAAAACAAGAGGTAGCTTTAACTCAGCCTCTTTCCCTTTCCTGAAATGCTTCTGCAGTGCCAGCTCACTGCCAACACAAAACCCAATGTTTACCTTCTGCTACCAACTCCATGAGCATTTCCACCTCCAGCCCAGAGAGCATCCATCCACCCCTGGCACRACAGCCCAAAGCAATTCCCATCATGGACAATATCAGTCTGCCACATGACACCTCCAGGATCAGCTGCACAAACCCATGAGCTCCCAGCAGCTTGGCATGGGCTTCCCTGAGGGCAGAGATTACAGCCCTCTGCCTGCACAGAACTGCTGGTGATMTGCAGCAGCCTGGAAGACTTTATTATTGCTGGTAGTACCCTCTCAGAGGCAAGGGGGGTTGTGGAGGCATGGAAGCATCTTCTGCTTGCAGTGAGACATCAAGAGCAAGRAGAGGCTGGAGGACATCATTCTCAYCATTCTGAGSTCGTTAMCAGCATCAGGCCCCTGCCTTTGTCCCAGTTTTCTCTGCAGCACACAGACTGGTGGATGGAGATGCTGCCTGGGAGAGTGTGCAGGAGATGAGCCTTGTCAAGGCTGCTCGTCCCAGGCTCATCTGGGGACGGGGCATGGATTGCAGCAGGCCAAGAGCAATGCAGAAAACGCTACAGAGATGAGACCATCAGATGGGATCCCCCAGCCACAGGCAAAGCCATGGCCATCTTCTGTCCAGCCCAGCTCAGCCCTTCTCAGGGTYGGTGAGTGGAGCCATCCCCAGGCCGTTATGTAATGCCCCCACTATTTATACACATTATAAAAGCCAAGGGCAAATTGGCCAGGTTGCTTAGCACTCGRCACTAATTGGATTGTAAGGCTCTGTCAACCTGTTTTGGTCCCACTCACCATGCACAGGTGCCCTTAGAGCTCCCTGCAGGCTAGACCTGCCTGTCACCACCACTTCCAGAGCAATTAGCAAACCGAGCCCTCATCCTTCCTCCTGCCCAGTACCTGCAGGCAGGAGGACAAGCCCTGCCTGCCCTCATCTTCTGCTGCCTGCATCTGCTGTGCCTACAGGCAGAGCCTCTCATCAGGCTGGTGTTGCTGGGGCAGTGCCCACGCTCCAGCCTTCCCACCACCTTCCTCATCCCCTCACCCTGTGGTGTTTGGGACAGGCTGCTGAGAGCAGGAGGCAATTGCTCTCTTTTCAGCCCCCAAAGCCACCATCGGGACCCAGAGGCACCAAGAGCAGCCAGGCACCAGCAGTCATCCCCCAGCACAGGAGAGCAGCTTTGCAATTTCAAATGTGTTCATTGCTTGATGTTTGTGTTTCAAGCAGATGCTGGGCTGCATAGCAGCTCGGATTTTTTTGCAGATTGTGCACTAATCTGGGGCTCTTGGCAATTGCTCATACCTACCATGTTGTCCTCATTTAAGAACAAAAAGGCCCTGTGAGGTTAAGCAAGAAATATACTGCTTACACTGCAAAGCACCCAAGCAGAAATATAAATCAAGGAGAAATACTATCTGAGCTACAACTCAGGCTGTATCTCAATTTATTTTTTTTAACATCTATCACGCTCTATCTGTTAAAGGGAAAGGCCATGCTCCCTTCAGCCGTCAGGACGGCAATCCTCGGGCCTACCTAGTATTTACCATCACCATAATCCTCTGTTTGCAAAGATTTAAAACCCAGGCACAGTAATTCACCACAGGCTAAAGCAGGTCTTGACCTGAAAGCAATTTCCCCCAGCCTTCTGAACTTCCTCAGAAATGGCCAGTGCAACTCAAGCATATGAATCAGCAGAGCAGCAGATCTGAAGTGAGGAACAAGACATGTATCCCAAAGGAAGCAAACCTCCCCAGCAGCCCAAATTACAGCAGGGCAAACCTCCAAATCCTAAACGATACCCACTTGAGAATACCCAGACTGGTCACAAAACTCCAGGGCAAGAKGATCTCAGACTTACAGTACAAGCTGAGCTCCAGAGAAACATGGGGAGCCTGAACCCTACAAAGTACTGCTGGGGCTAGGAAGAGGGGATGGGATTCCCAGGGGCATCCCAGCACAAATCACCCTGGTGCACAGCAGCCTGACGATGCCTCATCAGGTTTCAATTAAATCAACTGTGAGGCACGTCATCCGATTGTTCTCTAAAAATTACAGATGAATGCCAACTGCAATTAATCACAGCAGAGACTGAAAGCTGAGCTTGGAGGAAGCTCCAATCSCAACCCTGAGCCCCAGCACCTCAGTGGATGAAAGGCTCTGGAGGGTCCCCGTGCAGCCCAGAGGGTGCTGCTCAGCCAGCTGTCCCCGAAGGGCTTGGCTGAGCAGGGAGCAGGGCACGGGCACAGCTGCAGTGCCAGGCAGGGATAACAGTGCCACAAGAAGCCCAGCATAGAGACACACAGTTTATTTACACAAACAAACTGGGTTCTCCACCCTACCCTTCATTAGAGGCTTTCCAGGGTTTGGCTCACCCCTGCACACTGGTCCCATGCTGTGCCCTGTGTTTCCCCCAGGAAACACGAACAAATTAAACCCAGAAAGCACCAAGTACTTTTTTTGTTTTAATTTTTTGAGATTTAAAAAAWTTTTTGGTAAAGCAAGCACRAACTGCAACACTAAGRCGTAAGTGAGCATGGGTGACATTAAGCATCACTTTGCCAGATGCAGCTTGCACGCACAGATTATGGCTGAGATGATTTCTCTGCCTGGGACTGGCGAGGGGCCAGGCACTAATATTTATGATGYATCATGCTCTTTCACCCTTCTACCGAGCGCTTTGTCCTGGCTGCCATGTGGGGGTGGAGGAATCGCGTGCTCTCTTAGGCACAAGCTGCTCAGAGGGATCCAGCTGGAAATGTGGGAAAAGGCTGACTGTTCTGCTCAGCAGTGAGTTTTCTAACTCTGCCATGCTGTGTATAACCCTCCASTCTGTTCAGCCACAGCATGGGAAGGGGAGCTGTGCCACTCAAAGCAGAGATGGTCTCCATTAGCAGTGACAGCTTTACGGCACAGGTTGGCCCCATTTAAAGCTCGTAATGTTTTACTGCAGCCTTGTATCAGCAGCTACAGCAGGGCTGTGCTCCAGGCTCTGCTCAAAACCTCCCCCCAGCCCWGTCCACAGGAAAAAGGCCAACTTCAGAGATGCCTCAACCCCCAGCATGGCAGGCAGGCAGAGGTCATGTCCCTGAGCAGTGGTTTGATAGCGGCAGAGTAGAAGCAAGAATCAAAACCTATTGSAAGTGCTATAACTCTCCAGCCCACTGACAAGCTCATGTTGGCACAAGCTCAGCCCCCTCAGAGCTAAAAATCSTGCCTGCAACTGGTCTGGCAGAGGAGATGCTTCAAGCAACAGTGGGATGGCAGAAGGGGATGGGACACCACCCCATCAGGCTGCACGGTGCCCAAATCTCACACACTCCTCAAGTAAACACCAGGGCTTGTGGGAATTTGGCTCTGATCCTGCCATCCTCTGCATTGGCACCTCCACCTATCTCAACAAACCTGTTTTTAAGGACTTAAGCATTCTGACACCCCATGCTGATGAGGAGAGACCCCTCTGACATAGAATCATGGAATTGTTTAGGTTGGAAAAGACCTTTAAGATCATCAGTCCAACTGTTAACCTGGCACTTGGCACATGATCAGGTGGGAGCACCTTGACTTCCCCACGCCCCCTCTGCATCACAGYAGCAACTTCTGGGGCCAGAGGCACCTTGGGAGGTGAGATCAACAAGGGCACTGCTGGGATTGCCGAGCCAGCTGTGTGACCCAGGCACAGCACCTGGCCTTTTCCATGGAGCCAGGAYGTGCCAGTCCTGCAACACAAGGACACAACACCCTGCTGCAGTGCGGGGTGGCGGCTGGGAGATGGCCTGCTGAGGGCTGGGACAGAGAGCTGCTGGAGGCAGAGCTGCAGCCAGCACGGGTGACACAGTGCAGCCAAGTGACAGGAGTGTCCCCTGCTGGCTGCAGCTCTGGGTGCTGCAGGGGGGTGTGGGGAAGAGCCAGGGGGTGGCTGTGCATTCTGCCACTCCATTGGACTACCAGAAGGAAGAGAGCCAAGCAACCAAAGCTCTCTGAGATGGAGTCAGAAGGGCTGGGGATCTCCGGTTTGCTGGTCTACAAATGCTGGGCACACCTGGACAACATCCCCTCAACCTCTCTGAATCGCTTTGATCAATGTTTTTTCTCAGTCAGAAGGTTTTTTAGCTATCCCCATCATGACAGGACAAGATCCCAAGGAAAGAAGGAGATGTGAAGGACCAGCAGCGACTTTAGATGGCTGCCCTAGGCAATAAACCTCCTGGAGTAGGGCAGCAGCCACCCCAGCTCCAGCAGGGAATGCGCCTGCAGCAGCCACACAAAGCTGCCCGTGCTGGCTGTGAACCCAGGATCCWCCGCCCTCACTGCTCAGAGAGACGTGCGGCCAAGAAAAACTCCACACCCACAGGCAGCACCACGGCCAGGCATGGATACAGAGTGGGTGCCAGGCTCCAGAGGTCCCTGTGCAGCCCAGAGGGTGCTGCCCAGCAGCAGCAGCAGCAGCAGCCAGCTGTCCCTGAAAGCCTCGGCTGCAGCGGGGAGCAGGGCACRAGAACAGCTGCAGTGCCAGGCAGGGATGCCAGCGCCTTGACAAGCTCAGTGTGGAGGCACAGTTTATTTACACAAACATGCTGGGTTCTCCATCCTGCCCTTCATTAGAGGCTCCCTGGCTTT